CCTTGTTTTGACTAAAAGAAAATCTGAAGGATTCAAGTACAGTTTACATAGCGTGAAATGTGTTAGCAAGGTTCATTCCAAATGATTTGTTTACTCGTGTTGTAAAAAATGAAAGCGTAACCACGGCTTGAAATTCGATCCGTCTGCCATAATGTTTCAACCGATACGTACACAATCACCCGCATATAGTCCATTAACCATAAAGTATTCTTCTGGTTGACACTTTAGCGATTTGAAATACTAGTCTTTTGGAGCAGCCATTTTGGTCCTTGAGCTCTTCTAATGGTATTTATTTGCAATCAAAGAGTACACTGATTTATTTGATTTGCAATCAAATATCATGAAGTCTCTTATTTTTTCGTAGACATAATATATAGTCAAAATATAATAATTAAATCAAAATTCGTAAGTCAACAGTATAGCAGGAAGAATGCACATCAAAACTAAAATAAAAATAAAGTAACTCAAATTAAATAATAAACTAATATAACAAATAGATGAAAATTCTTTGTTCTTTTCAAGGTGCGGCCGAAAAATTTTCAGCAGAACCACTTTTCTAAATTATATCTGGATGATTAAAAACTCATCAGATTATCAAAAGTAAGTGGCAATTAAGAACAAATAATTAATAATAATAAATAATAATAATAAAATAATAATAAAATCTGAAAGGTATTTCCGTACAGAGTTCCGCGCGCTGGAGATAAAAATGTTTTTTCTGCACAACGTTGCCATTGCTCGCTTTGAAATCCTTGAGTTTGTTAATCAAAAATTCGTCAAAGTTTTAAAAAATAGGAAATCGATCATAAAACAAATTTCAAATTTCAAATTTGGTCTTCCACATGCTCATATTCGTTGGAGGATTACGTTATTCAAAATTCGATGACTCTATGTACCGTTATTTTATGACAATGCGAGAAATATACATACATTTACGCAGATTTTCATTATTTAATTTCTTCAAATATAATGCAGGACTTTTGGCACATTGAAGCAAATGCCAAAACAAAACAAATAGTCCTCGGACAAAGCCCCTTTGGACTAATAATAATGTAAGGCCACTGACATTTTTATAATAGATAAAATAAAGTATAAATTTTTTCTTTTCTTCTTCCATTCATTCAGTGAGCGTAAAAGAAATTTTGGAAACAAACTTCTAATAAGGGAAGAGGTGTTTAAGAGTTCAGAAGACTCCAACTATCTCACTGACATCTATTCAACTCTTCTTTTAAAAAATGCTTCAAGCATATAATTGTGAAATTAATTTATTTAAACATAATAGATAAAGATGTTACCATATAATTTATATTACTTTTTGCAAAAGCACAATTCAAGAAATATTGTTAAAAGTTATCCAGCGTTTTGACTCTCATATTTCTGACTAAATTTACATAGATAATTAGAAAAATAGATTAAAGAAATAGCAAGTAATTACCTATATATTAATAAAATTTCATTAAAAAATTTACTAATGCAGTTTACGGCAAAATAATTAAACAATTACTTCACCGAAAGGAAATTTATTACGTCACCAAAAGTATTTTAAATTACTAAGAATGAAAATTGATCCATAATGGCAGTTTTCAGCCTCAGTATTTCTGGTTTCAGGGTTAGATAGATGAAAGGTGACGTCACTTTATTCCCATTGGTTCTTTTACATTTACGGTTAATGGCGATTCGTTCAAGTTTAAAATAAAAATACCAGCTTATTCTTGCTCCTTTTCTAATTTTCATCCGAATTCTATATTCGCTTCTATTTCCTTTTATACATTTTAGGCATGGCTAATATGCGGGAAGTAAGTTTTTGACGCAAACAGGCTTCATGTACTGTTTTTGTGCAATTACAGAAGTACATATGAAGCACACAATAAATGTTAGCATATTTAAAGTGCATTTATGGAATATCAATGTTCTACTTGAAGTCTGAGTAAGTATTTTTTCTTTTTTTTTTTTTTTCTTTATCAGATACGCATAAATAAATGTAAATTGTTTTCTTACGAAGGAATGTACTATGCTATTATAAATGTCTTTGCGTTCTTTATTAAAATTTTGACTACTACTTTTATAAGGAATCTATATTTTTATATGTATTCACGTGGAAAAATTTACTTCCACGTGTTCATTTTTAAAAGGTCTTTTAAATTTAACGAATGTGCGAATCAGATGCATTCTTTATAGAAAATGAAAGTTTTCTTACATTATTGATTGCAAGTTCTAAAACTAGAAACACCTAAAAAATTAAATAATTTTCCTTACATTTATAAGGAATCTGTATTTATACTATGTATGTATTCACGGGGAAAAATTTACTTCCACGTAACACGTGTTCATTTTTAAAAGATCATTTAAATTTAATGGATGTGCGAATCAGATGCATTCTTTTTATAGAAAATGAAGGTTTCCTTACATTATTGATTGCAAGTACAAAAACTAGACACACCTAAAAGAAAAAATTATATATTTTTTTAGTATCACTTTTTTTTAGTATTACTTCCTTTTACGAAATAAAAAGGAAGTATTGTAATCGCGAAAATTTTTAGGCACCGTATTTCAACGAAAATATCCATTTTGACCGCTTCGAATTCATTTACAAGTTTTTGAGTGACATCGTCCTAAGGACACACTAAAGACTTCTTCCCCCCAAAATTAAAACTATTTTAAATGAATTCTAAAGAGAATTTTTCGTGGCTCTGTACGTACGTACATTACGACTCGCACACTCAAAAAAATAGCTCAAGCGTGAAATTTTGTATATAGGACTGCTATAACAGTATAGATGTGCACCTTGTATTTTGGTTTCAATCGGCCGCACCAAACGTATATAAATATATGTTATAAATATATATCCTTTCTGTTAACCGCCTCAGTGAGCTCAGTTATTTTTATTCTTATGTGTTGGTAAATTGAGCATTTTTTTCTTTAAAAATGATTGAATTATTTTGTACTCATGTTCTGGTTAAGGTTTTCATGCCTTAGTAATCTGCATGCAATATTTGTGGTTATCAACAATTTGAAAGCTTTAAGTCCGCTAAGCCTAAATTTGCGATGGCGGACATGTTTGTTACATTTCAAACTTGCAAATAGCGGTTTATTGCCAATGTAGAAACTAATCTCGCAACAACAAATAACCCTTCATTTTATATTGCGAATTAAATCATGCTAATTTTCTGGAATTTTACTCAGGAAATATGTTTAATTTTACTTTGAATTTTTAATATAGATATTTGAGTTTTTAGTATTTTTTTTGCCTTGTCAGAAAGGAAACTAATTATCGAATGAGAAATACTGAATCGTCTGTGAAAATGTTTTTTTTTGTTTGCTTATTTTTTTACATCGTTTTATATTTATTATAGTATTTGAATAGAACATGTGCAACGATTAGGAGTTTCAAAATATAATTGAATATCCTTCTGATTATATATGGACGAATGTAAGCTGTAGGACCCTTGCCCAAATGCGTATGTAAAAGTATAGTGAATTTAAAGAGTGCATTATTCCATTGTGGTTTTGCGCTATCAACGAGTAGATTAATTCATCCACTAGTTTAAAGAATGCAGAAAAAATGCGTATAATTTAATATTTCGTGCAAGGAAGTCATGTGATGTACACATCAGATTTTTTATTATCCAGACCAAAATACTAACTATATCTTATTATTAAATTAAAATTTTATTTGAAGCCATTACAGATTGATTTTGAAGAAAGATTCTACCTTTTTTTTTTTTTTTTCCTCTATTGCTTAAAGTTCAGAAATCTGATTCTGTAAATCTCTTTCATAAGATCCTCTCTTAGATAACTGAAACTAAAACTTCTTTGGATTATATATACAGAAGCTAGATTGCTTTTCTTTTCCTTTCATCAATGGAAAGCATTTAATTTCATGGAAAATTTCTTTTAATAATTTGATCAGGATTTTAAGATCACTACCGACGCTAAATTTTGTTTTATTCAATTTGATATTTTTATTTTTTAAACATATTATTATCCCTCTTGTTTAAAAAATTCTTGCTGTCAATTTTCATTTGCTTTAAAAACATTTAACTGTTCTTATTATTACTACTTTATTTAAAATTTTTTGTTTTAAAAATGCTAAATTATTAAAATTTTCGCTCGCTTTGAAAATGTTTGCCAACAATTGATAATTTCCTAATATGAAATTTTCGATTGATAATATAAAAACATAATTATCTTTATATTCGGTCACACAACAAATTTTTTCATATACCATAATAAAACGGAATTAAGTAAATTAGAGAATGCGCTAATTTTACACAATTTTTATTCTTACATTGTTTGCTACGTGGCAAAAGTGTGATTTGTGGTTAAATATTTAATCACAAATTTTAAGAAAAATTTATCTGAAATTTATTTTTCTCCTTAAAAATATGCTTTAACTCCTAATAAAAAGCCGGTAGTTTAAAGATATAGTATTTAAAAAATGTGTATTATCGTCTGATTACAGATGTCATCAATTCTTGCAATTTCTGATGCGTTTAAAACTCTTGGAAATTTTTTTGATTTTTTGAGAGTAATGGAAATCAATTTCTTTTAAGAATTCTTCATGAAGGTACCCTCATTTGCTTTGCCAAAAATTAAATGAAGCAATTTAATCCTTTCTAAATTGCAGAACTGCCTGGGTAAACGAGAAAATTTCATAAAGTAAAAACCAAGAGACAGAATACAAAATCAAAGTGTTGTAGGGTTATTAATATTTTAATTAAACAGTTATTTATAATTACAAAATGGGTAAAAGTTTACAGTTAGGTGCTCCTTGTTTTTTGGCGATTCTCTTTTGATGCCAAGATCGGCGCCAGGAAGGCAAAATTTCAAGATGGCCGCTACACAAAACCCATGTGATAAGGTGGCATAAAGGTTCTTTGTCGAGGGTAACTGATTTCAGAGTGCAATAGTTTTCACATCAGTGGTAAAATCCTCTATTAACGATTCCCGTTGCAGCCTCGAAGGTCGCTGCAGTGGACAAAGAGATAAAAGAAGTCTTTTCATCAGGGTCAGGAGAGCTGGACACTTTGTTATGTATGAGTGAAAGAATCTTCCCCCCCCCCGGAGTTCAGCGCAAGTAAACACAAGGAGATATTTAAGATGGTTTCCTGAGAAGAGAGGGAAACTTTCCTGTTTAGAGCTATGGGCATGTTGGCCTGTAAAAGATCATTTCTCGTGTATATGCGTTCGCTTGTTCTTAACAAATTCTAATTACGGGCTAAATATACCATCCCATATGTCAAGATATGCAACTGTTAAGTTTTCATCTTAAAATTCATGTTATTTGTTAAAACTTGAGTTTAAGTCCTTTCAAACCTGTTCCAACCCAATTTGCGTAGCGTTTCGGCACTACACCACCATACTTTTAGCCCAAAAGTTGTTTGCCCAGAAAGGCTATTAATTTCATTTTGGCATTTTCGTTGAAAACTAAATGTCCGCTTCACATTCCAAATGTTTGCCACCAAATATTATCGCCCCTGTTATATTTAAAGAAATTAAATAATTAAAGATCTGCGTAAATGTATGTGTTTCCCGCATTGTGTAAAAAAACAAAGGTACCTAGAGCCATCAAATTTGAATATATAATCCTCCACCGAATATGGGCATCTGGAAGCCCTAATTTGGAATTTGTAACTTGCTTTCATTATCGTTTTCATATTTTGTCAGACATTAAAGAATTTTTGGTTAACAACTCAAGATTTCAAAGCGAGTAATGTCAATACTGTACGGGAAAAAACCATTTTTATTTCCATCACGCGAGACTGTGTATCGGAAATTCTAAAAGTATGATCTTTTAAATAGCTTTTGATATTACTGTTGAAATGGATTTTATGGTTTAAGTGCGAAGAACAGGATATTTAATAAATAAAGGTAACGCACAAAACGTTGATAAAACGCCCCTTTGGGCGAAATATAAAATCTGAAATCTTTCGAATTTTTTATTTATTTATTTATTGTTGTGAAACTTGAGTTTGAAGTTCATTCCAACCCTGTGTCACAACGCAGGGTTTACGTAGTGGTTTCGGCCACTACCCCCCACCAAAATAAGAAGTCAAAGAACTGCACAGCTCGGTGTCTATATTCACATCGATTTATTATCACTTGGAAAAAAAGTCAGAGAATTGCACAAACTCGGCATTGCGTGCTGCCTTGATTTTGCCCATATAAAAATCGATCTATTTTCATTTAAAAAAATCAGGAGAATGATGACGTCATATAAGGTTAAAACAAAGTTACTCATAGCCAAAACTGAACAACCTTTGGCGCCAATCGAAGGGGCACCCTATTCTACACTAGAACCTAAATTAATAAACAGTTATTTATAATTTCAAGTGGTGGCTGATTTGTAAGCACAAAACGTGCATTTATGTTCAAGTACTGTTTTAAGAAAAAGGTTGCTTAAACCTTTTCAAAACTGTTGTTACTTCAGACCAGCGATACTTCCCTTCTACGCCTATTAGTAGTTAATATGTGTATGAGTAAGATATAGATGTAATATTTTGGCAGTCGGGTATATGAATAAAGCTCGGCAAGAAATGATGACTTAGAAGAAGTTAGCTGGTTTGGTTCCACATCTCTATTCAATTCAAATGGCGAATCATTATTCTTTTAGATTCTCCAAGATTACATACGAGATACTAATTTAGACTAAATAGGGTTAACTTTAAATTTACTGCGTCATACTGTTCAAACAAAGAAAGACAGGCGGAAAGAGCGGCAGCAAGGGTCTTACAGCGGCAGGAGGAGATAAGCAATCTGATGGAAAAATGGCGCGAACTCTACGCTTATAGTAGCAATTACATAACATGCCAGAATGTTCTCGTAAGTGCTGGTCTAGGGGAAGATCCTGAAACTGTAGTTAATTATAGTTTACCTGTTCGCGTAGAGCAAAGCCATTGTATTTTTTATATTTTACATATATATATA